GATCAAGAGCGGGTGGGACGAGTACGGCATCTCCTACGGGATGCCGAGCCAGCACATCGTCATCAGAAGGCTCACCTGCGTCTCGCCGACCAGCGCCGTGATCGCCCTGGGGAGCGAGATGTCCGGCGGGATCCGAGACGTGAGGGCGGAGGACATCACCGCGCTGAACTCGGAGTCGGGCATCCGGATCAAGACGGCGGTGGGCAGAGGCGCCTACGTGAAGGACGTCTTCGTGCGGAGGATGAATCTGAACACCATGAAGTGGGTCTTCTGGATGACGGGGAGCTACAAGTCGCACCCCGACGACAAGTACGACCCAAACGCCATCCCGATGGTGGACGGGATCAGCTACAGCGAGGTGGTGGCTTACAACGTCACCATGGCGGGGAGGCTGGAGGGCATCCCCAGCGCGCCCTTCACCGGCATCTGCGTCTCCAACGTCACGGTTCAGCTGGCGAAGTCGATGAAGACGCCATGGTACTGCGCTGATGTCGAAGGGGTTTCGAGCGGTGTGACTCCGGCAGCTTGTGCTTCGCTCGCAGATCAGGGGGCGGCCGCTGCGCCATGCCCGTTCCCCACTGATGCTTCGCCCATGGATGGCTTCCAACTCCAACAGTGCACTTATATAAAGTCCTACGATGCTTGACCTTGTAAGTATTGCTTCTCGTGTGTAAGTCATCAGCACCTGTACGACTGCAGTGGCTCTTTAGTATGAGTGAAGACTTTACACAATTCTACCATGCTTGGAGTCACCATCACTACAGGACAGCAAAAGGCTTCGAACAAAGGTAACATTAGAGTTTGCCGACCAACCAAAACAATTGAAGAGTTGAAGAAGAATGACCGAGATCATACCTTCATGGAAGAAATCTGTATCTCGCCGCTATTATACATCTCACGCTGTTGATTCAGCCATGTCTACTGCATCACTTCACCTATTTCTCATTTGGAAGATACAAATGAAAACCAATCCAATTATGACGAAAGCATAAAAATCTTTTAGGCTATTGCAAACAATGGAAAAAAGGCAGATGCTAAACCAACCTAAATCAAAATTTTATTAGAAATTCTGCAACTCTCGAAATAAGCAATTCAAGTACTGCAGAAGTACAAACACTTTGTAAATTACTGTATATGAAACAATTTTTCAATCACAGGCCACTGATCCATCCACATATTTAGAAGGAGTTTTTGGAACAAAATTGCACATAAATCCATCAACAATCAATGATCCCTGCATGTAATCATGTTAACTTAATTCTAACATATTTTCCATTTAAATCCTACAGACTCAAAAACTTACATATATGTCACTGCAATTGATTTCATTACCTACCATAAGAAAGGTCCAGATTATGATAATACCATTTAAAACATGTTACGAACAAACTAATACTAAAAATCAATGATCCTTACCTTTTACTAAAATCTATAATGACAAATATACTGAATGTGTAAGCTTCTAGAATCATTAGATAACACTTGTAACCAACAATTTGGGTAACACATGTAATCAACTACTTGTAGGCTACTAGTATCATATAATAACACACTTGTAATTGTAATCAACTACTCCCAAGGAATTATCTGATGCAGATAGATATCAAATATATCTGATAATTGGGAATGAAGGTACAATAACCCATAAGATGGTTAACAGTGAGGCAAATATTTAAACATATAAAAAGATACACAATCCATTAAGATACACAATCCATTAGGAACCATATTAAATACAAATGACAAAATAATCAAACTACAACTTCAACATTGACCTAATAATGCCAATCTGAAATTGCTTAAACTTCAAACGAGTATGGGACTGGTGTCTCTGAACCAAAATTGCGGTGCGTCCATCCAAACTTCTAACCTGGGAGATCCTTAACATGTTACAAGATAAAAATGTAAAACAATATTAACATAGAGTCACACTAAAGACAAATTGCAAGTTCTGGTGTTTGGATGGACATCCTAAACTAACTGCTATATACATCATATCTTGTTACCAGACAGTGAGGAAGATTACCTGGAAAGCATGGAGGAACATGTTTCAGCATAATACAGGATAAGATGCACAAAGTGGCTTTTTTTGCTTCGTCCTTGTGCGTTCTTGGCTTTTCACCCTCAGTGAACATTCTCATCATTGTATCTACCATTGAAATTATAACACCTTCCAAAAGATCATTTTTACTGAGTCGAACCAGATTACGAAATATTTAATAATACAGAGAGAAGCCTGCCATGCCTTAAGCCCTTAAAAGTCCCACCCTTCTCCATATTAAATTGTTGAAGATGGAGGTACTCTTGGACTCATAACAGTTCCACGTCCAGTTATGCTTTTCAAGACTGCAACCAGACACCCCCTGGTTTCTCCGACATTCAGCTGTATGAACCTATCCAGAAGCAAAGCACAAATCAAATAGAGCTTAAATTTTCTATGAATCAACCTCAGCACCCATCTGAAAGCAAGGGTGTAGTAGTTAATGACAAGCATCAATTCATTTAGAGAAAATTGGAGCTCAACATCAACAATTTCAAGATGGTAAACACATTGTCCAAAACTTATCCATCTAGTAGAAGAGATACTCTCCAATAAAATCTCCTAACCAAAAGGTTGTACAACAAATTACAAGAACATGTCTAGCTGGAAGTCTGAATCTACATTACAGTATGGTGATTCTTTCCAAGTGCTTAAATATGTAGAATAATGGAATTAGGTTCTAGCAGCACTAAGAATGTTAATTGCCCGTAAAATTATGCATTCCTTGCCATGCTAGCCGGTTCGATCGTTGTGCCACTGGAAAAGAAAATTAAAAAATGATGGTAAACAGAAGTGTCGACACAAAAAAGAAACAAATAAAATACTTACCCAGCATAGCTTTTCCTTCTTGGGTGCAACAAGCAATGACAAGGCTTGGAAAGAAGTAACGAAGCCCACCCAGAAATAATTGGGTGGGATGTCCCTTCTCCTCTTTACATGGCCAGGCCCAACGAGGAGCAGAAAGGAGCAATGAAATGAATCTCCGTGTAGTGTTGGGGGCTTATGGCCTCAAAATATCAAAACTTGTTGAAGCTTAATCAAAACTTGTAATAAAGCACCGAAGGCAATTTATAGACTTGGACTGGTTAGCGGTCCAATTAGAGCAAAAGCTGCCTGATTCAAGCCAAAAAAATTGGGTCAATTTAGAATTCACAAAGCCTTCATGCATAACAGAGGTGCGATCCTAGATTCATGAATCACTCCCTTGTTGGAACTGTATGTATGTTTGAAACATCGAAACCTTAAAATGTATATAAATGATGACTACTATAAGAAAACAATATGTCAGATTATGCTGTTGCCATGAATAAATCTAGTGCATAATTTGCCGTGAACTAAATCTAGTGCATAATCCTTTTATCAATGTACACAAGACATGCATGGATATGACAAAACATCCAAGAAGGAAGAAATTACTATGAAACACACCATTTCTGAAATCTCAATTCACACAATAAAGTTTATACAATTGATTGTAAAATGTCCTAGACAAGAAGCATTCCACAATAAACAAGAGTAGAATCTGCAAACAATGAGAGAAAATATAGAACTACAAAAGAAAAAAAATTCCCTTCCGGAAAACAATTAAACATGAAATTGAGATAACGGCCACTTAAGCACAGCTCGACAACCAACTAATCCCTTCAATCATAGAAACTCATCATTTAGTGTTCTTTTCCATTTGTGCTGGTTTAAGTAAACCAGAAAATGATCATTTACCCAGTTTATATTTTCTTGTAGTACAATAATGCAATTAACTACAACCCCATGTACTTGTTGAATCTAATTCCATAACTCCACCCAACAGTGCTCCGATCATTCGACATTGAAGAAAAAGCAAATGAAACTTGTTCCTAACTATGACACACGTCTAGTACTAGAAAAAATGGCAGAAATAAAGAATTCAGAAGGCAAAAGTAACAGGTATGATCACTACAAACTTATGCAAATTGTTGGGAAGTATTATCAAATGTCCAAGGTGAATTACATCATACTAACTAACAAAAGTTTTTTGGAAAATGACACAAGAGGTTGTGCAATTATATTGTTATTATCACAACAGCAACAACAACAAATCATAATGTACACTAATACCATTTGACAGAAAAAAAGGAGATAACAAGTCTTTCGCCAACACTTGCTATTAGTATCAAGGAAGCCCATTTCACCTGGACTGGTACAAAACGAGTGGCATGTACCGGTCCGGTCCAACTCAACATAAAACAAATAAAAAGAAAAACACCAATTGGGGCTCGTGAACACGAGCCCTCTTCTCATGGGGCATGTGGAACTGATGCCGCCGTTGCTGCTGTTCGATGTTGCTGCTCATACCATTTGCCACCACCACCTACCTCCTGGTACACTCCCTCCTCTTCTTCCTCCTCTTACACCGCTTCCTCTTCTTCCTTCTCTCTCCTCCACCACTTCCACTTCTTCCTTCCTCCACCTCCTCCACCACCTCATCTTCTTCCTTCCTCTTCCTTTTTCTTCCTCCTTCCTCCTCCTCCACTGTGCCTTCCTCTTCTCCTTCATCTTTGAAACACTGGTAAATATCGGTGTACTATGTCGGTACACTAGTACCGACCAGTACTGGACATACTGGTCTGGCCAGTGACTGGTATGGGTCCGGTACATGATATGGCATTCCTTGATTAGTATCAAGAAATTATAACTTCTTTACAAAAAACTTATGTCGTGAAATCCTGTTTCTCACCTTCGGTGTCCAGATGAAGAGTTTCAGGCGTAAGAACTTTCTTGATTTGGAAACGCCATAAGACTTTGGATTAGCAGTTTTAGCACTCCTATATGTTGTAAAACCATTTTAGCATAAAAATCCAATGTCAGGTGGCAATAGAATCTCTCGTATGAAAGCAAATGCACAAACAAGAACAGAGACATTCACATGCATACTCAGTGACTTGAGCTCTCTAGGCACAGAACAGTTACATAGGCCAGCTCCTCGATGGACTATATACCCAAAATCACTCTGAATGCTGGGCCACTAATGAACATATTCTCTTCAGTTGTCCCAAGAAACAATAAAGCAAGTGATGATGAAATGTTCCAACGAAATCAATAAAATCAATATTTAAGATGCCATCAGAACATCAGATCAGCAACCCCAGACTTCTAGTTCAAGGAGCAGCGACACCTACCAAGAAGAAGCAAAGGTTAAAGCGGTCTTTGTTGACAGTTACATCAGCAGATCTCCATATCAGAGCTGATTCATGAGAAAAATGCATATAGTGTAGCAAGGCCTCATTTCATAACAAGAAAAAAGGATTTCATTCAGAGTTAGATCTCTATGCAGAAATTATATTAATACTGATATATAACATACCTTGGAAACTAAAAAAGATCCATATGTAGGTGATTCACTTGTCAACAAAATGACCAGCCTAATCAAAGAATAAGAGTCAGGCCAAAATAATACTAGACCCAATAGACATCAATAATAAAGCTGGAAGTACCAATACCATTCAAGGAATCAAAAAATCCTCGTGATAGAATTTTACTCCACGCAATCAATATTTGAAATGATCTTTTGAAGTAGCCTGAATTTTCCGGTTGAACTTGGAACAGAATTACCAGAAAAGTGGGGTAACTCATTTTCCAGCACAGAGTAAGCATCAGCAAAAGCCTGTCCATATCAATGTCATGATGGTTTGACATAACAAAAACTTAAATACATCCATGGAATAAGATGTAGACAATCATTATCAAAATGCAATACATAAAGCTGGCTGTGAAACTTATATGGTTCGGTAATATGTGCAATGCAGCAAAGTGAATAGCAGTGATAAGGCACAAATGCAAGTTGCATGTGCTGCATAGGCCACATGTTCATAATTTGTGGTAGCATATGATGCTTCCTTTACACCAAGGATTTTAATTTCGGGCGGTACCGTTGATCTAGCCTCGTATCAGATGATACAGGGCTGTATCAGGCGGCAACGGTCGATATTTCGACCGTTACCACCCGAAACAGGTCGGTAACGGTCGATTTCGATCGTCGCTGCCCGCTACCGACCCGTATCAGCCTGGCTGCAGCAAGGGAAAAATAAGCATCAAGGGAGAAGAGGGAGAATCGGGAGAATCTCAACTCTTCCTGATCCAGCGCCACCCTCCCTCGACGATCCCGATCCAGGAGGTAATAAAGAGGCGACGGCTCAGCTTCTTCGTCGAAGGCCGGAGACGTTTGCGACCTTCGACGTCTTCGCCGAATGCCGCAGATGAGGAGAAGACCGCGTTCTTCTCCTCGTGCGAAGACGTATGCAACCTTCGACGTCTTCACCGAATGCCGCAGATGAGGAGAAGACCGCGTTCTTCTCCTCGTCTGACGCGACGAGGAGAAGAAAAGGAGGCAACGTCGCCGAGGCAGCATATGCCTCCTTTTTTTCTCTTTTCTTATATTATTTTTTATATTTTATATATTAATATTTTTATTTTTATATTATATGTATATATATACCGAGTGGTACACCCTGGCGTACCACTCGGTACGCCCATATCGTATCGTACCAAGCAAAGCTCGGCATGTCGGTACGATATGAAACTAAGAACCTTGCTTTACACCTTTTTATTCTTGTTAATAAGTAATCTTTTTAAGCTGAACTATACAACATTAGTTATTACTTCTCAAAATCCTGAAGAAGTTACTACTTCCCACTTGCTTCACAATATAACAAAATGAATATAAATGTTATTGATCAGTGTACTCTCTATAAGCATGATTTATTGTTACCGTCTCTGTAATCTGCCACAATTTTATATTTTTCCTAGATATGAAGATCATGGGTATTTATATATGGACCACATAAACTACTGCATATAGTATATGTACCATACTATATAATCTAATAAATTTGCTCATACACATATGCCAATAAATTTACAAACATGAACACATATATGCACCATCATTATTGTAATGATCATAACCATCTAAGTTTTTTTCTATAAAAATAAGACCATTTAAGAGTACTAGAACACCAGGATCTCATTAAGTTGCTGAGCAAATATTGATAGCTGACAATCGGAGTCATATCAACTTCTCAACAATTGGTAGACATTGAATATAAACCTAGAATTTAAGTTTCGGGTACAGACCCATAACTGTTTGTACTCAGACTGGTACAATACCATTTACTGACGGCACACCGGACAGTACCATTCAGAGGAAAAGGAGGAGGAGGAAGGGGGAATCCGATGGGTCCAAAATGAATGACGTCTTTTTTGACAGTAAGACCAAAGGAACAGGGTCCTCCACCCCTCACAATGTCATCAAGCTAAAGTCCTAAATCACAGTGATGAAGTGCACACCTTGCAAAAGCCCTGAAGTCATTGAATCAATCAGTGACTAGAACAGTTTCAACCAATTATGATCTAGACCAGCTGAAATAAAGTAGTTCTATACACTTTCAGCAGTTAATGCCAAGTACAATGCAGTTCATAAACAGTCATCACTCAGACCAGCGCATACTGATCATATCACACAATCATGCGGCACAGATTTTTAAATCCTTGATATAACTACTGTGGCCAGGGAACTAAAAAGTGTCAGCAGACAGAATAGCAACCTCTATCCACATTATTTTCAAACATAAATATCTTCATGTAAGCCTTGGAAGACAGATGACAAAATTTGTATTTTCAAGACTATTTTTCAATATCTCCAAATGGAAACCAACAGCAACCACGAACCTGTACTTAAGCCAGGCTAAATACAGGTTTACATGTGTGATTGGCTAGTAAATTGGAGATCATTCACATTCTTTTGGATGAAATCAGAACTTAAGATGTAAGCCCTTGTCCTCCTACCTTATCATTTTGTTCTCTTTTTTCCCTCTCTAATTCTCCTATCATTTCTCTTCTATCAGTATCTGTCAAATGAATCCACAAGCAGGCTATCATCCAATTCAATCCAAAAAAAGTTCCCCATTTGTTTAGTTTTACCCAATCACTGTTAGTGTACACCTTGCAACAAAGTTAGATCAGAGTGGATGATCTGGTGGACAAACTTTCAGTGATTAGCGACACAAAGATCAATGAACAACTCAATAGATATGAAGGAAGCATTAATTTTCAAATTACCAATGCATGCCATCCACAGAATACTCAAACTACCCGTACTGAAGCATGTCAGATGAAATACTGAAGCACTTAAATTAACATATTTATTTTCCTAAAAGCAGTATATAGACAAACTAGAGATCTAAAAATCATAACCATGCAGAAGAGCAGGAATCTATAAGAACCAGTTAACTACGGCAAAGTCAACAAAAGCATGTTCCAATGAGCCCAACCAATAGAATTGATCAAAGGTGGTCACAAGCATTCCAGCGATTGGGTTGATAGGAGATACTCATGAATGTTTCCATGGTCAAGGAGCTGATGAGTAAGATAGCTGAACACAATAGATGACTTAAATCTTGACACTGTGATTTTACCATAAGACCATCAAGTTGTCACAGAAAATGATCAATAAAGCTAAGAGCAGTTAATCAAAGTTCTGACGAAGAGGAAACTTGTTTTGGGTCCATCTCACCAACTATGAGGAAGTAGGCAATAGGGGAATATTATAGCATATCAAGGACATGACAGGATACAGCAAAAGGAACTAATAGTCTGGCCAGGTAAGATTTAGGATCAGATGAATCAAACTTCAAGGTTTTTCTAAACTGAATTGATTTCTCTTTCCACTTTCTAGCCAACATCATAAAACTAAGAAACCAAGGCTATTCATACTAACTTTAGTTGGTCTTTCCTATTTGTAAAGATTTTCATGTAAATTGTGATGTTCCCTTTTTGTCACACTTCTTGAAGTCATAAAACTGTTCCAAAAAGTATTTTATTGTGCACAATTAGTGATTACAATTTAATATAATCAAAACTCCTCAAGTCATGACTAAAAATATTAAAGAGGACATAGAGTAGGTCCCCTTAGACAATTTTGTGTCAAGTATCATAACATGAGTTATGAGTTGGTATCTATAGATTAGAGGGGGTGGTTGTTGGAATGAACTGGTAATTTCCTGCATATTATCATGAAACAAACATAAATAAAAAGGGCGTAGTGCATGATGCTCCTTACCTCTAAATACAAAGAGCCAATGTGGAATCTGGGGAGAGTCAATGCACGCAGTCTAACCTTACCTCTAAACACATAGAGATGATTTTCGTGACTCAAACTCTAGTCTATCAGGTCATAAAGGAGCCTTTCCATTGTACCAAGGTCTACTTTCATCCTCATGAATGAAACGTAGCTATATAAAATTCTCATGAACGAAATATAGCTATCTAAAATTCCAGGCCTTATCTTTGATTTTCTCTTCTCTCTTTTACTTCTCTTCTCTCTCGTTTGATCTCTTTCCTTCAATTTCTTGTAATCTTGAATGAAAATCTAGGGAGATTACCATACAATTTTAACTCCAACTGAAATCCTGTATATATTGTTTGGTTCCTCGATACTGGTGTACTTTTGGAAAGTCATGTATAAAAAAAGTCAAATATTGCAGCAATCAATATAAGATGGACTGGGCCTCCAGTGCTACAATTACATAATTTGTTCTCAACGAAAAGGTTGAAAAGCATAGTACAAGAAAATATTTGTTTACCTAATGAAACCTTACAACTTTAAAGATCCAGGGAAACTGTGCAGGCTGAGTTTACCAAGTAACCTGGTATATGATGATAAAAACCCAATAAAAAAATAACAAAACAGAACTCCGGCTCTTGATTTTAGTGACAGTACAAGTGTCCCCAACAAGCATCCATTTAACTCTTTATAAGTTGCAAAAGTATTATCATAGTAGCAACATATATCTAGGAAGAAAACGCAAAATTATGCAAAGCAGACCAAGGACGGGCCAAAGGTAGTGAGGAATTTCACGCATCAAGCTTCGTGATTGTGTTCATGCAAGAAAAGGGAGGCTGAAAAGCTGTAAATGCAGAAAAAGCTTCCGAGCATACCAAGTGAAACATAGTATTTTGTAACTGTAGATTAATGTGCATGAAAGAATAGAAAATCAGGAACTGACCTTGATACACTGATGTATACGGAAGCAGTTTCTTCCAACATTATTAGTTGGATAAAGAGGGTCATCAATATGAATTGGATCGATGCTGCAAATCAAACAATAAAAATAATAAAAAGCAAGTCAAGATGCCACAATCTGGAAGTCTAACTAAATAATACATAAAATTCCATTATCTAACCTGAGTCCTCTTTCCCGGTTCATATAAATTCCACTTCCTTGGATTGAAACACGCATATGACGTGGTTCAAAAATATACCTGCAAGTGAACAAAAAAAATATGGGATTAAGTTGCATGTTTGAATTTTGATTACACTGAAACCAGATATACTCTCGAATCATACAGTGGGAAAATCCCATAGAAACAGAAATGTGGCCATGCCAAAATATGTTCAAATGTCCATAAATGTTTGACTAGAAGAAAACCTAAAGCAACATTTCCTTACCCAAAGAAGTAGAGAAAGTCCATCAGAAGGCCACCAAGGTTCTGCCAAAACCACAAGTGATATAAGTTACAGAGCTGAAAGTACATCATCAACTTTGCAATTCTTAGTCATGCTAGAAAAGTGTATAACATCAAATATCTGGGTTACAAAATTCATTTATCACAAAAGACTACACAGCTAAACAAGTCATGTTGTACAGGCTTCTACCTAAGGAACCTAAAATAAAGAGCATGATAAAAACTAAGGAAAAAATAATTAATGTTAGTCAGGCTCAAAAAGAGAGATAGTTTCCTGAATTGTATCATGGACTTGTGAGAGTACACATCGGAGAGCCTTGCAGAAAAAACAAAAGACAATTAAATGTTTCAATAAATAAAAAACACTGGATAGCATGCAGTTGCTCCTTTGCAATCTAGGTGACCAAGGTTTGAAGATATGAAAACTACTTGCAGTAGTAAGGCTGTGTACATTGACCAGCTCTGCAGACCCTGCATTAGTGAGTCTTATGCACTGAGCTATCCTTTTTTATTGATTAACATGTGGTTGATCCAAGATATGAAACTAATAGGCTTTCATTTGTGTCTTGCCCCCCACTAGAACAGTCAATCCTGAAGTTCAATTGGCATGTTTCATGGAATAATATACCTAACCACATTCCATAACATGCTGATCCAAGTATGAATCACACTACAAGAAATGATTTCACTTGTGCATGCCATTCAACATACTAGCATAGACAAATAAAAAACGATCAGCAACCCTGGATGGAACAAATTAAAGTTAAAGCATGTTATTCAAGTAGCATTTACCATTTTATCTGCCATGTCTTGCACCACTTATAAAGTTTGATTAACCCTGACTCCTAGTTCATGATGAAATAAAAATTCATTTTTTTTCCATAAAATACTGAGTACTTACTTGGTTATTAGGCCGACCAACATGGTGTTCATGCTGCAGAAAACGTATAATCAACAACACCTGCACATGGCCACACGAGCAACTAACACCATAGAATCCTTTGGACATATAAAAATAATGAAGCATGAAAATATATCTTCAGCATTAGCTCAGCAACAATTCCTATCTGGATAAGAGACCAAGACCTATGGTGAAAGATAGTTCTACTCCAATACCAATTCAAAATATGAGAGTTCAAATTTTAGCAAAATACCACCATGTATCATCTTTAAAGCAGAAAGACAAGGAATGATGAGGAAACATCAGTTTCAAAATTGTAATATGAGAATGTGTCCTAAGAAAATGCCCTTATCATCAATGTAATCAAGATCAAGATTGTCCTCAACTTACATGGAAAAGTATACCGGAACAAACATAGGCCAAAGACTGAGATTGGCATGAGCCAAAATCGAAATTCCAACACCAAAATAATTGATTTGTCAGCCAAGCCCTGTCCTAAATGGATCATCTTATCCAAGCTTATATCACCTCAGAGTTGACGAATGAATCAATTCCACGTAAACTGTGATGGTTCAGTCACTCAATGATCCAAGCTTGTCTGAGTTAGATATTACCTCTAAAAAATTAAGCTAAATGCTGGGTAGCTGAGGTTTATCTATTCCCAAAGTTTAAGTTTCTTAATTTTCAAAAAAAATAAATATTTAATTTTTGTTTACAAATTACTTTTCAACCAAACTTCAATTCAACTTTCCAAAGGATTTAATATGGACAACCAGAGCAGTCCAATCCCAAATTCTATAGGCGATCCCAAGATCATTCTTGATTCTACCACTAAAAAATGCAACTTCTTAGTACCATATTCAGCATAAGTAATGGCTGGTCTAAATAAATAATGCAAAAGTGGGGACATAAAACAATTACTACAAAATTGTAATAAACAGAAAAATTAATCAAAGTAGATAAAAAAAAACACAGGTATTTATTGCAAAAAATAAAATCTAAAAATTTCATAACTATAAAATTTTGATCAATTAGTCTCATATGTACTTCTCTTTTGATTATTTAAATTCCCCTTCATTCATCAAGAAGCACCTATAATATTTTATAAAAATAGAAAGGACCAGTTTTAAAATACCTATATAGATTTGAGTAGTAATGAACCAACGTAGTTCAAACTTCAAAAATGACAGTTTTTTCTTCTAAATTGACATTTTTCCTCTTTGAATTGAGTATGTTTGCTTTCCAGAGCAACTAAGTTGGACTGGTCATATATCTTTCATGATACTCGTTTTTAGTTGATCCCAATTTTTTGAAGTAAACATGTGGTTGCTTCTTAGTGAAGATTGATGGATCCTCCTTTTGAATTTTGGGAACACTTGTGAACCCCCAAATCATCTTTTAACTTCGTCCCATCACTTTTTCAGATTTTTCCTTGGCTGCCAAACAATGTCTATTATTTGGGAACCACATGACAATTTCCACCAAGTTCCCCACATGCAAGGTTCAGAAAAGAGATCCGGTATTAATAAATCTAACTTGAATCCAGCACGTAAACTGGACAACCATAGTATGACTTGTAATGGATTATCACTAAGTTCCCAGCATGGTTAAAAAGACCAGTCGGTCTGACCTGGTTCCAGAATGTGGACTGGGTGAATATGCTTGTTCTAGTTGGAGACCAATGTTTCTTAATTATTTTAATTTTTTTTACCTGGACAACTATTGGCTTTCAACAACAGGCTTGCAAATGGTAAAATATAACAACATTTAAAAAATCAGGGAGTTGTTGTTTGCCACCACCTCATCCACCTTCTATCACCGCCACTACCTCCTCCCATCATTGCCATCACCACTTCCTCTTCCTTGTCAACCTCCTTCCCTCTGGTCTCCCTCTTTCTCTGTGGTCTATGCTGATCATTATACCATTTGTCAAGATGCCCCACGTACCGAGACCCTCAGTGGTCCAACCAAGGACAGTACGAGCTTGGGACCAATTTGAGATCTTACCCACATGCACTAAGACGAATGAGTCTATTCAACAATATGGTTTTCAAGGAAATTCAAATTTGAGGAAGAAATTCATTTTTCCTGTAAACATGGCTTACAACAATGTAATCATCTGCAAAACAAATCTAAGTCCTGTATTAAGGGAAGAAAGAACTAGTGACCGTTTACTGGAACCAATCAGTACTATTTAATACAAAAAACTATAATTCAATGAACTGAAGAATTGGTACCGATCAGACACAGCTCACAAAGGATAAGAAAAGAGAAAGTCCAATACTCCATATATTAGGCTTTTTACCAACTACAACAACCAGGTTCATGGAACGACAATCAACATGCAGAAGATTTAACCATTTTGCTTCATGTTTCAGCAATTATGACTAATTGCCTATACAACATCAGGTATATCCTTCAACCAACTTTCAACATCTAACTAGTAAAACAAAGTCTATTAGAGAAGACAGAATTATCGACCATTTGATGAGAAGAATACAGTTTACAAGGAACCATATATTGTTATTGACTTATTGTATCCCAGTATTACTAGTGGGCTAATTACATATTAGCCCCTGTAGTTAGCTATCTTTAGCATCCCGGTCTTTACATTTTAAAAAGTTACATTGGCATACCTATAGTTATAAAAGTGAAACATCTAGGCCCATTTACCCTAATATCATTGGTTTTACCAACAAAAATACGAAAACAAATTGCAAAAATATAATTGTAACGTTCCAGTAGGTGGTGGCGGACGACGTCGGTGGTGGCAGGCGACAGCACCACTAGAGGTCACGAGTGGTTGTTAAGGATGAGGAGAGCAACAGCGAGAGGTGAGGGCTGCTCTATATCTGCGTCGACGCCAACGCAATTGTCGAGAGACAAAAGGGCCGCTCGGTCGTTGCTTTGCATCAACGTTGGTGCCAACACAGATGCAGAGCGGCCCTCCCCTCTCACCGTCACTCTTCACATCCACAACAGCCACCCGCAACCCCTAGCAACGTCGTCGTTCGCCACCACCGATTGAAATGTTAAAATTTTCCTTTTGCCCTTTGTTTTCGTGTTTTCATTAGTAAAACCGATATCGTTATGGTAAATGGACCTAGATGTTTCACTTTCGTAACTATAAGTATGCCAATGTAACTTTTTAAAGTGTAAGAATCGGGATACTAAAGATAGCTAACTACATGAGGTAATCTGTAATGAGCCCGTTACTAGTTACTAGAACAGTAGAGTCAATTAAAATACAATAAGAACATATGTAATGGGGTCGACTAGAATAGATGATACTAAAACAACAACAAGCCCTCGTGTCCCAACTATATGAGGTTAGTTGCAATCATTTATTCCCTGCTATTTGAGCTCTGCTGAAGGCAACCGCTAGTCAAAGAATCGTCTCAATTTCTTTTTTATTGCTTCTAAGAAAAAGCCTTACAGATCCTCCTAGGCCTGTAATTACGCTAGTCAAACCATTGATCTTATTAAACTCACTAAGTTTCAGCAGCACATATAGGCCCCTGATGAACATGCCCATACCATCTTAAACCCCTTTCCTTTATTTAACTCCCCGTCATAATTACGCTGATTCTTCCAACGTAAACATTTATTGTTCTATATATATTATCCTTTCTAGTAGAGCTAAAATATGACAAAATCCATTTTAAGAAACGATCCAATGTCACATTAGCAAATTGTATTCGATGGCATAGAAAAGCTCAAACTCCATGAAATGTAATAGTCAAACATTTCATTTTGCTAGAAGTTGTTTTCCCCCCATTCTCTTACTGTTTTACATCTGCAATGCCATCTGCCCTTTGTCTACTTGCGACATTTAATTTCGAGCCAGATTTTCATGGACAGAGAAAGTGCAACGCATGACTTAAAAGTGTCATTTGTATGGGTTCAAGTGGGACTTAATATCGTCTTGGATGCTAATCATTAGTCTAGAGAATTTTCTTCAACACAATTGATAGAAAGGAGATAGTACACTATTATTATCGAAGCATTTATTTATGTACTTCATAGATCTGACAAGCTAGAAGAGGTCCGCCACTCCATTGCTTCCTAGCTACCACCACTTTCGGTTTCTCCATGGATCCAGATACTCCAACTATCCTCCTTCGCCACCTTTCATCAGATCTCTTACTCCATCTAAACTCCACCATTAATTTCTGCCTCTTTTACTCACTCACCAAACTAAGTTGCCATATAATGCTTCAGTTGGTCAATAAAATGTCTCGATCCAAGGTTTGGAGTACCATTTGGTACAATTTGGCACCAGGGGTATTTACCAATCTAACAACCTATTGGTATGTGGACCAAGATAAACTGAGTGGTACACCTGGCATAGAGCTTGTATCATCTGGTATATAGTCAATATGGGGCCTATACCGCCTCGTATGCCTAGTATAGGTCAATACATGCCTTGTACCTGGAAGTTTTTATTTTTCAGGCTTTTTCCAAAACCCGATATGTACTAGCATACTGACACTATGGATTGGTATGGTACAAATTGAGCCTTGACAGATATGCTATCGCTACACAAAATTGCAAACCTTGTCTTTGTCATGTGATTTCTTAATCTATGTCTGAATTTCATTCGTTAGCTCCAGCTGCTACCTATATTTCTGTACTTCAGTGAATCATGGTTGCATACTTGCATTATGTTCTCTAAAACAGAAAACGTGCTATTGCATATGCATAAACATATAGCAATTGCTTGTGCATCATGTAGCTACTTCCAACAAACTGCTTCAACATCATAAAACCTTAATATGTATAATCATACTTAATAATAAAGAGATGAATTTCAATGACATTATCTAAATTCTTCAATTTCTCAAGTCACAATTCAAAACAAATTGCAATGTAAGTTACCAAGCAGTATGAACTTAAACCACCAGAATAAGCATGGTCCAAACTTCGATCAGCCAGGAACTTCTTAAGTACTAAAGCCAGCGGTACAGAAGCAGGAAATTGCTGGGTCAGTTCTCTAACCTGCACATGATAATTATAAGTCATACACATTTAGACATTGTCTAACTCATCATCCTTACACCATTCAGTGAGTGCTACATGTATCGGCAATTTAAGCTGCTACTGTAGTCCTTAAAAAGAAAAGGATAGTACAAACTAATTCAATTCCATTAATTTAATTCGGTCAGAGAACATATTCTTCAAATATTGCAATAAGCAAGAAGAAAACTAAGAGAGGGAAGTTGGATAAAATTTCTGCTAATTCCTTATTCTCAGACATAAGAAAGAAAAGTCAATACCACTCAAATATGAAGAGCACGATGATAATAAAATCTCATGTATTCAAAGTCAATGACATTAGAACCAGGGTCTGCCGTACCGAGCCGTACCGCCCGGTACGGGCGGTACGTACCGGTCCGACAGGTTTTCGGTACGCGGACCGACTGTTACCGTTCCGAGGTACTGTAGCACTGTAGCACTTTGCTACAGTACTCGGTACACCTGGGTGTACCGCTCGGTATACCGTACCATACCGATACCGACCTGGTACGATACGATATTGCGAACCTTGATTAGAACCATGCCAATTGCTAGCAACACTATATTACCTCAGCTTTTCCTAACTTGTTTACTCTTGTTTTCTCCAATAATTAATGCCTCAAATTCATTTTTCATAATGAAAGAATAAAGGTGGCAACCATGGTTTTAAAAGTCAGCCAATTATCATGCTCCAACAGTCCCACATTAGGACTCATGATGAGTTGGTTGGTAAATAAAGCTTGGTTGTTTGCCACTAAGCATTCTAGGCCATGTGATTTTGGACCAAATCTATCCATGTTTTCAGGCTAATAAGTACACCAAGTCCATGAGAATAATGATACCAGTGAAATTGGGCTTACTAGAAAAAACTTAAAAGACTTGATGTAGACAATATCAGTGAAATTGCAATTAGATTTTGAATTTTAAATGAACTACATAGAGATAATCTAATTTCTCAGAAATAGATAATCTTGGGTGTTGCATCTAGAAGGTTGGAAATAAAGTTTCTTTCCAAAATAAATTCAATTATTATTAAAAGTTCAAAAAAGTCAATCATGATTAATAATGTTGAAATCTTAATTAATAAGGCGCATCTAGATAGCTAATAATATATTTTATATTATTTTATTTTTTGCATAAGGAAACACCTAATCTAGCAGCAAATAAATAAATTCAAAATATCTAAAATTTCTAGGAATTCACATCTACGTTTGCCAAATCCATATATTTTTTGGAATGTGTTAGCTAATTCCTACGAGGGCCAACCCTAGTGTCATGATAACATTTCTCCTAAGCAACTTATATGAGTCATGAAAACGATCTCTCTGCTGAGGTAAAACTACATACACTAACCCTTCCTATAATCTCTGTTAGTGGGAGACTCATGCACCAGGCTACCCTTGTGTCAGCCAGTTCCTACAAAAGTCACCACCTCTTTCATTGGTGGGAAAGGTGAGTTTGCGAACTTAAGACGTGGTACACAAGGGATTGATGCAACTGTGACAGCTATCAGATGCATTACCAAAAGATTGCACTTACACTTGCAATTTTCTTCTCAGCATATAAGCTGGGCAGTACTACCACGAGATGTGTTGGTGAATCAACCAAGTGTTCTGGTAGATGGTAACCATGGCACAGATTCTATCATAAGAAGGCCCAATGTTTACAAGCACATGTTTATCTTCTCCAAAGTAGATTATAGCTATTATAATTTATAAGGTATTTATACTTCCATGTGCAAAGTCAAAGCAAAAAATATCCAACATTTGCTACTAATCCAACAACACTTTTAAATAAGTGTATTACCAGTACTTCTCTAAGCATATGCATTAAGTTCACAGACAATAAATTTTACGGCTTTAGTACTCTAGACCAGGGTTCGCCATTTCGAGTGCTGGACCCATCTCGGAGATTTATCGATACAGTATGTACCAGTGTACCGACACAAAATATTGGGGCAAGTCGAGGGGGACTCATACAAGCCGCGTTTCAGTGGTGAGTCGGACTAGTATGTGCTGCCCATACCATACCAACTCGGGCGGTACAACAAAACTTGCTCTAGACATCATAATCAGAAAGTCATGCCCTTTTGAAAAAAATTTATAAGTTTTAGCACCCCTAATCCATGCCAATTTATTCACCCTCAACAATATGAGAGCATGTTTATGTTAATAACTCTTGAGTGCTAAAGTTATTTAGCATCTACAAAGGACAATTTGAAATCAACAGTCCAGTAACAGCAACCAAGTCACAGAAACATCATAAATTGTTCCATCTAGATTGGTCTTCTTACAAAAAACCTATCTCTGTAAGGGTAAAATAAAATCTTTCTCTGCTCCCATGACAGAAAGCTTGCTTACATGTGCCTTGATTGTCAAGGAGAACCAAGATACAACACTTGTGGCAATTCCAATTTCTTTATGCTTGCTCACTATATAGAAAACAATATTGATTGTATGCACATATCCAGTCATTGCCATAAACTAATGCCAATACAGATGAAGAAAAGCAAGGACACAGCTAACCTTTACTTGCCAGATATAGCAACAGAAAAGGGAAAAAAATTTATGCATCATAGCCCAAAATATTCTTCAAGAAACAACTATTGCCAGAAAATAATACTAAAGCAATTATGTGATGATAAGGCCATAGGGCATCAAAGGATAATTGGCAATGTGATGAACACAGAACTTTAGATGCAAAAATAATTGGTAATCACCGACTGAAAGTTAATGTTATGCATCCAATTGTTTCATGTAAACAACCAAGTATATTATTCTAGCATTAATTTCTAGATTTTTGATACAGCAATAGAAAATTAACCTTTAGATACTGAAAATTTGAGCTCAATGTAAACTAGCCTAAGAAGCTCACTCAACCTATATTCGATCAATAAAATATGATGCAAAAGAGCAGAAAGCAATGTGATCATAACAATTTTACTTTCTTAAAGAAATGGAGCATATCCAAATCCACTTTGCTAAAACATAACAACAAAACATGCAGATTACCAGTTCAGAAGTTTGAAGTCCAGTATGTGATGCTGATTTGAAGCTGATATCAAGACGAATCGACTTTACATCAATGTTATCATCCTTTTTCATTTTTGAATATGGCCAAGAGGTACAGTCTGAACTAGAAAGATCAGTAGTAGGAATGTTGCATTGTCTCCCAGGAACCATACTTGAAAGTGCTCGTGGTATATCCACCATGGACGATTTCTTTCTTGAAATATCAATGTCGTCAGGAACTTCTGCCACCAGCATGATTACAGGAATCTGGAAACAAAACAGATATACATGACAAAAAGAATCTTAAAGATAATAACACAACTAAGAATAATATGTGAAAGAGGGAACCATACCGCAGTATTCTCTATGGTCTTGAGGGAGTCATTTCTAACCCACTCCTGGTTTGCAAGGTATCTAGCTGCATGCTGGAGAAAGAATGATATTCAAATGTAACATCATACAATAGTAAATAAAAGATAATATTAGCAAAAATACTCCAGCATTTCATAATCAGCATATCCACCTCACCAGTTGTACACAGTTACATGAGAAGTTATAACAAATCAAGGTCCCCCCATGAAAAGTTAAACAAATCAAGGTCCCTCAAAAAAGGTAAGTATTCAAAAGAGAGACTTTGTCAAGAGAAAAAGGAAGCATATAGAAGGTTTTGACAGAATTTTTAGATGTATAAAAGGTTATCCGATATTGTCTATCAATCATCACTAATTCTCTATTTAAGTGGAAGACTCAAATTCTGACTAAAACATAGCACGCAAAACCAATGATACCGACAGAGCAACAGTGCATGCTGAACTGAAAGAAACATAGTAAGATGAAATTAACTAAATAGATCATCCTCAACCAGATTACTATCCATACAGAACATCAACTATGATCTTCTCAATTGCTATGCCCCATTATGCCCTAGGATGCTAAAGCTATACAGAACTCCAGCCATGTAGTTTAGATGAATGGAAGGATACAGAATTATCAGGCAGCAAAATCACATATTAACAATGATATTTCAAATGTTGCTGATCAAGAAAGCATGCACAAATTCAAAGCGTGCACAAGTTCCCTTATGATTATAACACAATACCAAAGATAAATTAAACTTAGCTCTTCAATGAGGTGGAAATGCCTAAACTTTTTCTAAGCACACAGGAATAGTAAATAAAGCACATATGAAAAGATCCTAAACGCAAACTTGAGACTAGATTTATCAAAAAGAAGCATTATGGTTCAAGAAGTTTAAGGAAAACAAACTTGAACTCAATCATCGAGTACAAAGTGGAAGCAAATCAAGTGAAGAGAAACTGTTTAAAATCAAAATTAGACAGATCAACATAAAATAGCAATAACTTAACCTAATTTAAGGGGCCTTTTAAAACCGAATGAGTTAATTTTACAATTATATAGATTATTTCTGCAATTATGTATAGAGAGTAATTTTTATGTTCATTTATCTAAGGTGAAACAAAACAAACTAGATCCAGAGATACATATTTGAAAAATCATTGCTACATACAGGATGTGAGAAAATGATGGTTACAAAAAGATAAGAAACTACCATAGACACGGCATATCAGCTCCACTCCAATCTTTTAATAATAGGAATACCAAAATCTTTAGCAGATTGGACAACAAGAATCCCCAAACATAGGGTCGAGATGAATTGCCAAATTACCTGAAGGCATGTTTCCTTGATACCATTACGACCTTCCAAAATTCCAGCTTCTTTGATAGGTTCCTGATGAAAAAGCCCACCTGTTATCTTTTACCCAGATCTTCTTTTTACACAACAATGAGCATAATTCTACAATTAACACAGGTTTCTAACCAAATTCCGCACTGGAGGAAGAGAAACCACGATATCTACATCACTAGTTGGAAGAGCTAAACCAGTCGCATTAGAACCAAATATGTTTGTCCTGGAGCGAGGCCAGAGGACTTGAAGGGAACGCGTTACCCTCTTGACAGCCCAATTAATGTAGGGCTTCTTAATCAGATTCTCAGCAGCAACCTTCGACATATCAATAATGATGAACCAGCAATTAATATAGGAAATACAAAACAAAATCTAGAAATGAAATGAAATGAAAATGTTGGTCAAGAAAAATTAACCGAGCTTGGAAATCATGCAATTCAAAACCTTGCTACCTCATGCGTAATTCAATCAAACAAATTGGTCAACAAAGATTAATTGTGCTTATAAATCTTGTGCAATTCAGATCCATGCATCTAACACATTATGAGTAATCAATGAATTTATACACAAGGATTTAAATCCCAGTATTGTAAATTCCAGTCCAATATTGGTCCTAGTAATTGGTCGGACTGGTACCACACTGTTCTATATGGTCCAGTGTTAGTCGTTGGACCAGTTTAGGTACTGGTCCAACTGGCAGTTAATTCTATGGTGTTACATATATACATATATGATAGAGTGGAAGAAGAGAACGATACTAACTAAAAAACCAAGTGATGATGATATTAAATGGTGAAATAATTAACATATGCAACATCATGGACCTGAGATATGTTATACACAGAAAACGACAATAAAGAAAAAACAAATAAAGATAAGGCTACTCAAAGCAACAAACCTGCTTGCAAAAAAAATCGATTTCCTCATGAAGAAGATTGTGCATGATAGACAAGGATGTTTTAGCAGATGAACAATTCAACAACTCTGGAGGTTGCAATGGTAAAGCTACATCAGGCTGCAAAATCATTTTTACAATGAACATCATGCCATACTTGAAGAAAGATATCTAAATAAACTTTAAATATATTTGCTTACATGTTCCTGATCGAAGGCAAGCTGGGGAATTGTGATGAGATGATCTGTCAATAAAGGTCCATGAATTGACCGAACCATGGGATTGGTGGTAAGGCCTTTGTTTCCCCATGAAGGCCATACAACTTCAGCACCATCAAAACAACATCGACTTTCCTCAGAACCACTTTCATCAGAAAACCTAACACCCCAGTGTCTGGGACTTGAGCTTCCAGACCTAACAATTGGGAAGCCACGCTTTCTAGATTCTCCTACAGGAGAAGGTGGAGGAGGGCGAGGCACTCGAGGAACACAAAGTACCACGGGGGATGGTGGTCTCTTGATTTGGGGAACATCCCTCCTACTAGAAGGCACACATGGGCTTTTGTGTTCATAGCCAAGCTTAAATTCCGATCTGGATCCCCTTCTCGACATGCTTGGAACAATGATTGGCCGCAACATTGAGAATGGAAGTGTATCTCCTTTCACTCCTTCAATGACACTAGCTGAATTATTCATGGATTTTGGAGCTTTTTCTTCAGGAATATCTGGCACTGAGGAAGAGTTAATAACCTTCCCAGTAATATCATTTCCTGAAACAGCATAACCAACGGATTGGTGTCCAGATCCCACGGTGTCAAATGGTGAACAAAACTGAGTGGCAGTTGGTGAGGCCAGACCATTTGTATTGTATGAAGCAGATAATCCAGGCACTCCAACCATATCATCTATAGCTCTGTTAAGATCAGCCTCGTGCCAAGCCCATCCACTATCATCAGAACTATGAGATGGTGGGCGAGAAAAACCTGATCCAACATGTTCAGCAGGATTCCAGTACATCACTCCACCACCAAAAAACTGATTATAATCCCTCCCAGATAGCATATGACTCTCTATTTCCTCCTCCGAAAGCCAATAGCTTTCAGTATCCTCTGCCAAATCCGATATGTTTTTCATATCATATACATCCAGAATATCTCCAGTATGAATTCTGTCATTCTCACTAAAAGTACCAGTATTTTGAACTGCATGACCCGAAAAACCTGTACAATATGAAGATTGCAGCCTTGAATTATATCCAGAATCATAGCTTACAGTCACTGTTTGACTCAATCGAGTACAACTTTTAACCATAGGAGGCCAATCAAAACTCATTGGCAAAGTTAGAGGAGGTAAGATATGGTTGCATCCACCCTCGTTGGAAGGGAGCCTTGCCTGATGCCTCGAACATAGGAAGGACTGATGACGGTAAGCAGGCCATTCATGTCCAACATCCAAATGTAGCCTCTCCGTAGCAGCAGGAACATGCTGTGAATTGAAAGATGAAAAATTATGGGGCGCTATGACAGGCCACTCATATGATTTTCCTTCAAAAGTATTTGTTTGATTATATGAATAGCATGTTTTACTATCATTTTGAATTACAGAACCATCATCATTTGCAAAACCTTCTTGGTTTATTGAAGAAGCAACAAACTGTGAAGTTATTTTGCATAGATTTTCAGAATTATTAATCTTGGTTTCAGGCCAATCATATGATCTGCCTTTAATACTTGGCTCAGGCATAGGTAAAGAAAGATTGGATACCTGATATCTGTTTTCGTTCTCTAAACACTTCATGGATGGATCAACAGAATTTGCACTAGTTTCATCAGAGCAGATTGCACTGTTTGTCATAGATATTTGTGGCACCACTTCTAATGTATTAGCAGATTGTGAGTCACACTTGCATTCATGGTGGATTTCTGATCTGTCTGAACTTTTGGAAAAGCACAACCCAGTAACACAGTGGTTTATGGTATTATGAAGATCAAGATCCTTTTTCATGCACCCTGTATTCCCATTCTCATCCATTAAACCTGGCTCGTGATAAGGCTCACATGAATTATCTACTGGTGATGGATCAGAAATGATAGCAGATCCATTCAACAAGGGAGTAACAGTTGCTGGACTACTTAATCCATTCAACAAGGGATCAATGGCTTCTTTCCTTTCAATATCCACAGCAAGGGATGAAAGATCAGATCTTTTATCCTCAAGATCAGGACATCCAACTTTCATTGAGCTTGAGATTTTACTTTTAGTTTTAGCTCTTCTTCTTCCACTTTTCTTCTTACTGGTATGGCTCTTGCACTCAAACGAGTCGCCAATATTTTCCTACATGAAAATAACATGCATTATTAGCTCAAAATAAATATTAACAAGAATATATGTCCAAATAATTACAGTGTCGTTCTCTGCTGATGGAGTCCCATTTCCATGATCTTTCAGTGTAGTAGTAGTTGTTTTAGCCTTCTGATTATCCATTGGCAAAATAGTCTCCTCTTGGGAACAAAGCCTAGTTGTGCTATCACGTGCACTGTCTGCTCCACATTCATGACCCTGGCAATTAAGCAACTCTTTATTATAAGTAAGACATGTCAAAATGCAGAGGTCAAACAAACTAAGAATAATGAGACCAGTGCGAATACCACTGAAGTTTCGCATGAGGTGGAATCAACTTTGGATGCCTTTGGAACAGACCTCGGCTTCCCAGAACTACGAGATTTCTTCTTCCCTTTGAGACAGCCAGTGTTAGACTTCTGTTGACTTTTGTTTTGATTGGTCTTCAACTTTGCATCTCCCAGAAGTTCAACATTTATATAGTTAGTATATATACCCATGAGGAGTTTTTGTAGTTTCCTTAAAATAGAATCAGAAATGGTATCAGCAGATGGTAGTGTACTAAAGAGCATTATCTTTTCTTCATATTCACTAAGATAAAGAGAACATATCTCCTGAATTACTAGTAAACAGTTCAAATATTTGGCTAGAGATTGTGGCCTTCCAGAAGATGTGTTGGTAATGATGTCCATGCAAAAATCTGGCTTCCTACTGAAGAATGGCTTCTTTGACCTCATCCAACAAGGAATGGGACCATATCTTAGTTGGAATTCACCATCAAGCTTGTGAAAACAAAGTTCATTCCACGAGGCAAGTTCTGACTCCCTGATAATTTCATTTGCCTGAAAACTTACAACTTTGTAAATAAAAAGGTGGTATAAAAAGCTGTCTGGGAGTAACATATCAAACAGACTGGCCAACAGCCTTCTCAATTACTGGTCAAACTTACAGCATCATAAATGAGAAAGTTGTACAAAAGAGCATGTCTGGGGTAACATATCATACAAACTCATTAACAGCCTTCACAATTATTGGTCAAAGAGAATTCAAAAGAACACCATGCATAACAAAAGTAGTGTATTTTTTCTACTGCAGGACGAGCAGCCTTAAGCACAAAATAAACAAAAAGGCTTGAGTAGTTAATTATCAATGCAAACTTTGTAAGCACCATACTGATGTTCTCCATATATTACAAATTCAAAAAGTTCACTATAATTTCGAAAATGCAATTTGATATTTCTCAGGTGTATTTCTAAGGGATAAGTATTTCAGATGGTATAGCATGTACTCAGGAGAAATGATTACTAATTAGTAACATGAGGAGAGAACAAGGAAGACATAGGACTTGAATAGAAACTATAAACAAATATTTAAATTCTCGTAACTATACATATGACTTTTTATATATCTCAATGACGGAAAAGGATCCATGTAGCCAATCTCAAATAGTTATGATTAACGACTTTATTGTTGTTGTTGTATGCAACACTAGTTATTTTCTTTCTAATACGAGGCCCTAAATCAAGAAACTAGACACAGACTACTTCAAGCAAACTGTCATAGACCTATCAGTAATTGGTTTTAGAATCCTTGTCCAACTGAACAACAGCAATCTTACATGTTATGTCTTTGCCTGTTTCCAGGAGCCAGGAGTATTGAACCCCATGACAGCAAAATTTCAGCGACAATGATACAAGAAAAACATGATGGTAAAATTTCCAAAATATGCAATGATGGTTATCGACATTTTTTACTTCTAGACCGATATCATAAAAGTCATGAATCAGAAGACCACATAGGACGCAAAAGACTTTAAGCCTCTCGTGATTCAGCAACCATCAAATAAGCAAAAAAGAAACATTCACCCCGGTCCTCGAAATTTTTCAACAGCTTAAAGAGGCACATCGGCTAGCACAATCAGGAACTTTTCAAACGAAATCTGGTATGAAAATCAAACTGCAGTGTTTAGAGAGGCAATGCAGTAAAAGAAGTACCAGAGATTTAGCTGCCTTCCCCAAGAAGGCCTCAAAGATTTTTTTCCTTCCTCCAGGATCCAACCCCGCCCACCAATCCAAGCAACCTTTCTTCCTCCAAAAAACATTTGCCGCCAGACCAGCAGTCAAGGCTTTCTCCTTGGCTGCCTTCCCACCCTTCAGCTTCTTGCCTCCCAGGGAGCTAAGCCACGACAACCTCAGAGCAACCTCAAGCCGATTTGCCACAAACGCCTCCAAGCTGTAGTACCCTTTGTCCTTCAACCAAGGCATCTCCGCCCACGGCGCCGCCAACCCGTTCACCTCCCCTCTGAGGAACCTCCCACCAGAGATCGCATCCATGACCGCCACGAAGCGGTCAACATCCGAGACAAGGTCCTCCGCCACCGTGGCCGCATCCAGGAGGGGGGAATCATCGCTGGACGCGAAAAGGAGGAGGGAATCGGCGACGGTCCTCTCGGCGGCGTCGGCGGCAGCGGCGCGGGAGAGGAGACCGTAAGAACGGCGGAAGCAGAGGGAGGGGAGGGAAGGGGAGGGGAGGTCGGGGAGGAGGAAGAAGAAGCCGTGGCCTCGGCGGCGGAGGCGGGAGAGCATCTGGAGGAGGACGCGAAGGAAGTCGGCGTCCGCGACGGTGAGGGCGGACTGGCGGTGGGCGACGGTCAGGCCCGAGAACCACCGGAGTACGGCAGCCCGAGGGCTAGGGTTAGGGTTCGATACCTTGGAGGAGGCTGAGTGGTAGAGGGCGATGTGAGCGGTGAGAGAATCAAGTCTTCGGTGGGAATCCATTCCCATAGCCCCTCTCTCTCCCTCTCTCTCTCTCGACAGAGACGCAAGTTCTTTGTTCATTTCAGAGACGACGGAGGGAGGGGGTCTCCGCGGAGTCTGTGAAGCTCGGCTGTCTATCCCTATATAGGAAATACTGTTACCTCCCCCCCTCGAAAAAAACTCCATTGTGTCACTACTTGCGTGGCGGCCGTACAAGTGCTTACGACGTACACAGTGTCACGTTTCCTGTCTCACCCGAGACAGCACCGGCGGGATTGGACTGCCGGACACGTGGTCCGTTCCGCTCTCACAGAGACCTATTGTGCATGTTGATGAAGAACAAAGGGGCTTTGCATTATAGCGCATTTGCTCTTAAAATGCTTCCAAATAAATTATAATGGACAATTTATCGGAAAATAAAAAATACTCACCAATTCGATTTATACGTGATAGGACACATTTCGATCCCACGTTGGGGCATACGAGGAACCTCAAGGTCGATGTGGCATGCAGCACACATGTGACACTGTAGACTCCGGTGGACAATCGCTCATTGCCTTCGTACAAGACATCATCATCATCATGATATAATTGTACTAAAAAGCTTAAGACGACATTGTGCGGTGTCAATCCGTGTAGATCAATCGACGCTCACACAGAAGCTTAAGTCGATCGTAGTTAATCGACCCCGTATAATCAATTCATCATCGTATGTATAAAAACCAACCTTCCCTGAGGAGAGGAGGGGTTTTTTTTTCAGAAAATTTAAATCTTTAAAACTACATATACGTTAACTTAATCTTTGCTCGCCAGACATCATGGCTCGTCTTTCCCCGTTATCTCATTTCTTTCATTCTCTTGTTTTTTTCTTTCATCCTCTCTATTCATCCATATTTTTTCATAACCTCATCTTCGTTGTCTCCAGAGGAAAAAAAAAAGAAAAAGAAAAGATTGATAAAAGCGAGACGATAAAGAAAAAGGGGATAACAAATAGGTTATAAAAATATTAGATAAAAACTAATTATGATGTATTATCGGATTAAAACCGATAAGTAAGAGCATTTTTAGATAAAATACCTAAAGATCAATGACATTTATCTGAAAAAAATCATAAATAAATACATCATCCAATAAAACACAATTAGTGGTACTTTTTCTTGGTAAATCATCCAATTATAATTGCCACAAATTCTCTCATTTCCTACTATTAAACTTCGGAACAGGCGGGAGATTGGCTCAGTCTCCGGGTCCCACCGGGTTGCGTGTGGGAACCCATGTTCCCTGTCTCGGTCAAACGGTCCAAGACAGGAGGACATCCTCCTCGAGATCATTCATCACACGCATCTCAAAGCACGGTCGCATGTTATGGTTCCTCGCGGTGAACTCGATGAGTTGGCTCATTATTGCTTGGGGACGAAGAAGAGCCTCCTTGCCGTGTCGTTCTCGCCTTCCAAATCCACACGTTTGCCACTTGCCAAAGGAGCTGCTTCGCATCCATATCTACATTAAGTCTGCAACAACACGTTATCTAATCACAGATGTTACTTTAATCCTCGATAGTGAAAGGTTTATTAACGATAATTAGATGTTGGATAAAATGGAAAGGAGCTATGCGTGATTAATATGTGCCTAATTAGGATCGATCCCAAAACAGCGACAAGAAATCGCATGCCTTCGTGGAAGTAAAGGGATGATGATGACAAGTGCCACGTCATTGGTGTCGTCAAAGTAATCGCAGTCTCACCGGTAACCTCGGTCGTGTCCTCATGCGTTGTTCGTCTCGTTCCCACCGCTTCGCGAGTTAAAGATGCCGTGAGATCGGTCGTGTGGCCATTTCTTCACCGCGACGAAAGCAACGAAAGTGTAAGGCCCTGATGGAGGGAGGTGACAGCTAACATCCTCTCTTGACCACTTCCTCGTCTCACCGCCTTTGGCGGGAAAAATTCCTCCGTGTTTGACGCTCGAGATTTGTTGAGGGAAAAAAATGTCAATATGATCTAAATTTGCATATATATATATAATTATGTAAGATGTTTTCTGAGATAAAAATATCAAGTTTTGAAGATATCACTTATATAAATATAGTTTTTCGATTTGATTTCTTCGACGCTCGTTCAAGCTAGTAATCCTTAACATGTGAACGTAAATAGTAAAAAAAAATTGATCCTCGATATATTGAATATGAGCTTTTATATTTGATAGAATATTTTATAAAAAAAAATATTTAATTACTTTTAACGATCCTCTCGACCTCGAGCACTAAAGGAGATAATTGTTTTAGATTTTTATCCATATAGAAAAATGAGTGTATAGTGATTTAAACTTCACGTGATAATTATTTGTCGGATGATGATTGATTAATAGTATATTCGCCTTCAATAGATAATTAAACACAATCTTAGATCGAAAAGTGTGAGTTAATTTAACTAATAACACATAAATAATTTATTGCTAAATTTTGGGATCAAATTTTTTCTTTGCTAATGTTGGAATCAAATTTAACTTATAACGTTGGGATCTCAATGAGAACTAAACGATCCAATTCGTGATCAATGAGAACGCAATGAATTTCAATATATATAATTTTTCAAAGTTTGACAATATAATGTCATAAATTTTAATATTAGATATGTTTTCTCTAAAAATTTAGATTATATATGTCTCCAAGCATTTACTCAATAAACTCGAGTTAAATAAAATATATAATTTTTAAAATATTTTAAGAACAACTTTAAATACTTTTAAAATAATATTTTCTAGATCATTAAAAGCAAGTCATTTGTTCACACTAAATCAAGTGGAAGATTAGATTCATGTTCATTGATTTATTGGAGTCGATCGTTACTTGGGTGAGAGACTTCTTGAAAGACATAAGAGGTGTCAAAGGCTTATTCAATAATTCTTCTTTTTCAATGCATGAGTTAGCGAATATCATCTCATATCTTTAACATAACAAGTAGATCAAAAATATATACGCTTATCAATATACGATTGTTATTATAATGAGTTATTCGAGAAACGATTATTTCTCATTTTTAATTATTATCAGGAATATCATGTGTTTTATTTGATACGAATGATTCCCTCGTCAAATAATTATGTCGAGAATAAGAATAATATCTGATATTTGATATGAGATGATGTTTACTATCAATGGCTATTCCTAGCAATGACATGAATAATAACAATAACTATGCATGATAGAGGAGTAACATTTGATCGAAAAAGCGGTATTATAATAACAAGAACTATGAGGACTAGCATTTTGCAACCTTTCATATGAGATTGACATATCCAATATCCTCATGAACTTTAAAGTCAACATGATCGTTGGCATGGTATCCAAAAATGGATTGGATCAGAGAAAAATAGATCGTTCTTTATTAGCTTAATATGAGATTTTGATTGGACGAATGCTTACACGAACAAATATTCCTCTTATCGAATGCTTGAACTACGAGAAGTTGACTTGATCGCACATCACACGGTGATGTGAAGACTTCAAACGCCCTTTTTAGGCTATAGGGTGAGTTGGAAGGCAATAAGAGGTGACCTCTCTGTGTTGGTATGATTGTGTCACGGTGAATACAACAAAATCATTGACTTCTATTTCAAACACTGTCAATTATATTAACTCTTCAAACCTAATTAGATTTTATTATGTTGGGGTTTAAGTTTTTTTTGTTTTTGTGAATATCCAAATACGTTAAACTCATTTAAATAAATTTTCACTATTAAATTGAGTTCCAATTCAAGTTTTCTTTATCCCTAAGAAAAAATTAAATTGTATTAATATGTTTCTTTATCCCTTCGAGTTGAATCTAACTAAACCCACTCGAGTGGGCTAATTACGTATTACTATTTATACTTGAATCATATTAGTATTGTAATAACTATACTTAAAAAATTTACATTATGATATTTATAATTTTGAAAGTGAAATAAGTAATATCGTTAGCTGCATTGACGAAATACAACACGTAACATCACGTGCTCGAAGGTGATGAGCAAAATGATAATTTCAACATTCCTTCTGTTTTCAACTCGTAAGATAGTTGAAATTATATTTTATTGTCAATAAAATCCTTGAAAACGAAAAGATTATTAAAATTATCTTTATGCTAATCACTTTCATATCGATCCAATTCATGATATCGACGTTAAGATAAATAAGATTATTTATTTTATTTTTAGAATTATAAAAATTATAATATAAATATTTTTAAGTGTAAGGATCACGATACTAATAAGATCTACAATAATATATAAATAGCCCAATAAAAGCAACATCCGAGAATAATTTCGATCATTCTAAACTAAGCTTTGTTTTCACCCACCAAAGTTTTCGGATGATCGGAACACACATAATTCTCATCATCATTATCCACCTCACATTAACAAGCGTTGTTAGGATCAAAACGAATGCCGATCGATTCATGGACGGAAGCAACTACTCGCATGCTGTTTTGATCACGACGAATCATATTGCTATTAGTTGGGAAAGACCGGTAGATAATTGTTAGGATCACGAAATCTTATTCGAGATCGCACGTAGCTTTTTTGGTAGGAAATTTCCATATTATTTGCATGTTTCTTAGGATGCACGGATTGCTCGATTTATACACTCCACTTTGGATAATTTTGAATGTAATTATAATTTTCAATCTACTCGACATTTTTTTGGAAAACAATATAGCGAATTGGCTACTAATTGTGCCAATAAAATTCATTTTTATTTTTATTGTAGCAATTAAAGTTTATGGGCGAATTCCCCAAAAAGGAAAACTCATTTTTGTATTTTTGTATAAGCTTATAGTGCTTTTAGGTATATAACAAATGTATATATATATATTTCAAATAACAAAAAAACATTTGAAATACTACCAAAGATGATGAGTTAATTTATAAATGTCAAAAATATTATAATCGGATTGATTCATGAAGCGACATGATATAAATACTCTTTGAGATGTGATGTTGATATAAATCTACTTAGATTTCGATCATCAAACTCATACACAACACAAAATTTTGGGTTTTGTGATTCGAATTAAAAATGCATAAATACGGGGATAATTAATATATGGCGGCGGGGATGGCATTC